TTTTAGAGAGTGAAGAGTATTGTATGCCATAAATCCTTGTATTTGAAAGCCAGAAAATGAATGTGTACGTGCTACGAGGAACAAAGTTAACCAAATGACAGAATCTGAAACAGTTAATAAACCAGCAAGATAAGCCTATAACACCACAGATATGTGATGTGACAGAAGATGTCGACAGCTTTTTGGACAACCAGAATGGTCAACTCTGAATGATTTTAAAGAAGTTGAGACACAAAGACAACTAACTGATCACAAACATTACAAGGGCTGGCAACATAATCACAGCACATTATCAAAACTTAACATTTTAAAAAAAAAACCTGGTATACTCTGTAACAATTACGAAACTAAATGGAACCAATAGATAGAGGCAGGCAGTCAGATACAGTTCTTGACATAATAATGGCATGGAAAGATGCCATTGTGTGAAATGATACAGTCAGCTGAAGAATCAAAGGTATGCAACTGGTTCACCTGTTGTGTAGGTTTGTAATTATGATTTGTTATTTTGTTGGATGCATTTATTTTTCTGTTCCTCAGTCTGTTGTGTTAAATACTTCATCCTATGTGTGTGTGTGCATGCATGTCTGCGTGAGTGTGCGCATGCGTGTGTACTGCTGTTTGATATTTGGCTCTTCCTGTTTGTAAGGTTCTTGTCTGTCTCGTCCTGTAAACACTGTTTGTTGTGTGATGTTTGTCTTTGTCTTGTTATGTTGACAGCTGATGTTTATCTGTTTGTTTTTAAATTTTGTTTGGTAATATTCCTTTTTGATGTTTAGGATGTTTTTTTAATTAAATATTGTTATTTTGATGGTTATTGTACTCTTGTCTCATAATTTTTTCTTCTATTGTGATGTTCTAATTTGTTTGTGTGTCCTTGTTTTGCATTCGTCTATTGCTATTTGTGATGTTCTTGGTTGATGTTTGTCTCTTGCTGTCAGTGATGTTTGATGTGTGTCCCCTGCTGTTGTATGATGTTGACACTTGATGTTGCCCACACACAGCTGCAAGCTGACAGATCCTACCATGCCTGGATGTAAACCAGTCACAGGTGGTCTACCCCTGGATGACATCCTGGAAGACATTGACTCCGACAGAGAAGTGGAGAAGATCCACTCTCTTCTTCTGTCTGCAATTGACCTTCTGGATGATTTACAAGGTTTGTGTCCACTTTGTTCAGTGTATTTGAGAGCACTGTTTGTTTGGATTGTTTCAATTGTGTATGTCAGTGTATTTGTGAGCACTGTTTGTTTGGATTGTTTCAATTGTGTATGTCAGTGTATTTGTGAGCACTGTTTGTTTGGATTGTTTCAATTGTGTATGTCAGTGTATTTGTGAGCACTGTTTGTTTGGATTGTTCTAGTTGTGTATGTCAGTGTATTTGTGAGCACTGTTTGTTTGGATTGTTTCAATTGTGTATGTCAGTGTATTTGTGAGCACTGTTTGTTTGGATTGTTTCAATTGTGTATGTCAGTGTATTTGTGAGCACTGTTTGTTTGGATTGTTTCAATTGTGCATGTCAGTGTATTTGTGAGCACTGTTTGGATTGTTTCAATTGTGCATGTCAGTGTATTTGTGAGCACTGTTTGTTTGGATTGTTTCAATTGTGCATGTCAGTGTATTTGTGAGCGCTGTTTGTTTGGATTGTTCTAGTTGTGTATGTCAGTGTATTTGTGAGCGCTGTTTGTTTTGATTGTTCTAGTTGTGCACGTTAGTGTAGATATATTTCATAATGGTTGTGCATGATGTCTGGTGCAGGTATTTTACCTACTTCGATCCTGCTGGTGGTATAAGAAGACGATAGCCTAGTGCTAAACTGCTGTAATAACAGCAAATACACTCTGGGTGATGGGGAGAAACATCAACAGCATCACTGCCACGTAGCAAGTCCTTCAGACAGCGTTGCTCTCATGACACCCTGATGGAAACAGTCTGGATGCTTCATGTTTGCCTGCATCATTCCCTGCCATGCTGACAGTTTCTCATCATTCCCTGCCATGCTGACAGTTTCTCATCATTCCCTGCCATGCTGACAGTTTCTCATCATTCCCTGCCATGCTGACAGTTTCTCATCATTCCCTGCCATACTGACAGTTTCTCATCATTCCCTGCCATGCTGACAGTTTCTCATCATTCCCTGCCATGCTGACAGTTTCTCATCATTCCCTGCCATGCTGACAGTTTCTCATTATTCCCTGCCATGCTGACAGTTTCTCATCATTCCCTGCCATGCTGACAGTTTCTCATCATTCCCTGCCATGCTGACAGTTTCTCAATGTGCCCTGCCATGCTGACAGTTTCTCATCATGCCCTGCCATGCTGACAGTTTCTCAATGTGCCCTGCCATGCTGATAGTTTCTCAATATGCCCTGCCATGCTGATTGTTTCTCAATATGCCCTGCCATGCTGACAGTTTCTCAATATGCCCTGCCATGCTGACAGTTTCTCAATATGCCCTGCCATGCTGATAGTTTTTTAATATGTCCTGCCATGCTTACAGTTTCTCAATATGCCCTGCCATGCTGACAGTTTCTCAATATGCTGTGCCAGCCGTTGTCTTCCTCGGCCTCTGCCCAGTTCTGTAGGAACAGTTCACCCATTGACTTTCTGCCCAGTTCTGTAGGAGCAGTTCACCCATTGACCTTCTGCCCAGTTCTGTAGGAGCAGTTCACCCACTGACTTTCTGCCCAGTTCTGTAGGAGCAGTTCACCCATTGACTTTCTGCCTAGTTCTGTTGGAGCAGTTCACCCATTGACTTTCTGCCTAGTTCTGTTGGAGCAGTTCACCCATTGACTTTCTGCCTAGTTCTGTAGGAGCAGTTCACCCATTGACTTTCTGCCTAGTTCTGTAGGAGCAGTTCACCCATTGACTTTCTGCCTAGTTCTGTAGGAGCAGTTCACCCATTGACTTTCTGCCTAGTTCTGTTGGAGCAGTTCACTCATTGACTTTCTGCCTAGTTCTGTAGGAGCAGTTCACCCATTGACTTTCTGCCTAGTTCTGTAGGAGCAGTTCACCCATTGACTTTCTGCCTAGTTCTGTTGGAGCAGTTCACCCATTGACTTTCTGCCTAGTTCTGTAGGAGCACTTCACCCATTGACTTTCTGCCTAGTTCTGTAGGAGCAGTTTACCCATTGACTTTCTGCATAGTTCTGTAGAAGCAGTTCACCCATTGACCTTCTGCCCAATTCTGTAGGAGCAGTTCACCCATTGACTTTCTGCCTAGTTCTGTTGGAGCAGTTCACTTATTGACTTTCTGCCTAGTTCTGTTGGAGCAGTTTACCCATTGACTTTCTGCCTAGTTCTGTTGGAGCAGTTCACCCATTGACTTTCTGCCTAGTTCTGTAGGAGCAGTTCACCCATTGACTTTCTGCCTAGTTCTGTAGGAGCAGTTCACCCATTGACTTTCTGCCTAGTTCTGTTGGAGCAGTTCACCCATTGACTTTCTGCCTAGTTCTGTTGGAGCACTTCACCCATTGACTTTCTGCCTAATTCTGTTGGAGCAGTTCACCCATTGACTTTCTGCCTAGTTCTGTTGGAGCAGTTCACCCATTGACTTTTCTTTCCAGCATATTCTTCTATGCTTACCCTTGAATAATACCTTGTGTTGTAGTTTTAAGCTTTATAGCGCTATCTGTGCCATTAGGCACACCAGATAGAAGAAACTCATGATTTTTCCCCTTTTACAACATACTCATTAGGGAGGCAGTGGGTTTCACCCCCCCCCCTCTTTTCAGTGGGACCTGAAACGCACACTGGGAACCCGTTGGATGAAATGCTTAGATTTGCTAGAATATACCTTTTCGCACTCTACAGTTTCTATAGTTCTGAGGTGTTCCCAGACTGTTTCAGTAACACTTCAGTTCCAGAGTAATATCCCCTCATTAGACCTGTCAGTTTCTGCATGTGTCGTCAACAAGATCATTTCCCACTAGACCTTGTGTGATTCTGGACTGGGAATAAATTTGCTGTAGTGCCTCCCTGTCAAGGCAGTGGTCTGATTCAACCCTAAGAAGTGGCAGGTTTTTTCCAGACGATGACCCAGCCTCGTTCAAATACAGGATTGTCTGATTCAACCCTCAGAAGTGGCAGGTTTTTCCCAGAGGATGACCCAGCCTCGCTCAAATAGAGGATTGTCTGATTCAACCCTCAGAAGTGGCAGGTTTTTCCCAGAGGATGACCCAGCCTCGCTCAAATAGAGGATTGTCCGATTGAACACTCAGAAGTGACAGGTTTTTCCCAAAGGATGACTCCGCCTCGTTCATCTAGAGGATTGTCTGATTCAACCCTCAGAAGTGACAGGTTTTTTCCAGAGGATGGCCCAGCCTCGTACAAATAGTGAATTGTCTGGGTTTAACCTTAAGAAGTGGCAATTTTTCCCTGAGGGTGACCCAGCCTTGTACAAAGGGAGGATTGTCTGGAGTCAACCTTAAGAAGTGACTTTTTTACCCCACGAGGATGACACAGCCTTGTACACATGGAGAATTATCTGGGAACAAGATGTAAAGATCAAAGTAACTATTGGCTATTCTATCTTAGATACCAACATGATATGAAGACTCAGTATTTGATATCTCACTTTCTGTATCTGATAATGGACTCCATTTTGTGAGCTAGCTTTGCTGGATTGATTATCATGATATACTTGTGCTATACCATGCTGTGATACGACAGACAGACACAGTCTGCTACCCACTGCATGACTGACTGACCTAAGCTTCACCAACTGGTAGTCAACTGGTCTCAGCGGATTGATATATCCATGACCCAGGCTTCAGGTATCAGTGCCACTCCACTTGTCACTGTAAACATACTGATGTTTTAGGTGATCCTGACTTGTCTTACTGTTCATACATTGTTGGTGAGAGCAATCAGTGCTTCCCAGACAGTGTCCGGACATCTTTAAAACTTTTATCCTTGTATTATTAGTTACAACTTTGAGTTATTTTTGTATTGTTGACCTCACAATTTTTTTTGGACGCACAGCCATTGTGTGCAGCTGTTTTTGTTAGCAGCTGTGCCAGCAATTATCTTGTTAGCAACTGTATGTAACCATTGTATAGCTCACAGTTGTGTACAACCACCATGTATGTAACCCTTGTATAGCTCCCAGTTGTGTACAACCACCATGTATGTAACCATTGTATAGCTCACAGTTGTTTACAACCACCATTTATGTAACCATTGTATAGCTCACAGTTGTGTACAACGACCATGTATGTAACCATTGTATAGCTCACATTGTGTACAACCACCATGTATGTAACCATTGTATAGCTCACCATTGTATAGCTCACACATGTGTACAACCACTATGTATATAACCATTGTATAGCTCACAGTTGTGTACAACCACCATGTATGTAACCATTGTATAGCTCGCAGTTGTGTACAACCACCATGTATGTAACCATTGTATAGCTCACAGTTGTGTACAACCACCATGTATGTAACCATTGTATAGCATGTGCAGTTTGTGTACAACCACCATGTATGTAACCATTGTATAGCTCGCAGTTGTGTACAACCACTATGTATATAACCATTGTATAGCTCACAGTTGTGTACAACCACTATGTATATAACCATTGTATAGCTCACACATGTGTACAACCACCATGTATATAACCATTGTATAGCTCACAGTTGTGTACAACCACCATGTATGTAACCATTGTATAGCAGGTTGTGTAGAACCACCACCAGTTGTGTTTACAACCACCATGTATGTAACCATTGTATAGCTCACAGTTGTGTACAACCACCATGTATGTAACCATTGTATAGCTCACAGTTGTGTACAACCACCATGTATGTAACCATTGTATAGCTTGTAGTTGTGTACAACCACCATGTATGTAACCATTGTATAGCTCGCAGTTGTGTACAACCACCATGTATGTAACCATTGTATAGCTTGCAGTTGTGTACAACCACCATGTATGTAACCATTGTATAGCTCACAGTTGTGTACAACCACCATGTATGTAACCATTGTATAGCTCACATGTATGTGTACACAGTTGTGTAACCACCATGTATGTTAACCATTGTATAGCTCACAGTTGTGTACAACCACCATGTATGTAACCATTGTATAGCTCACAGTTGTGTACAACCACCATGTATGTACCATTGTATAGCACAGTTGTGTACAACCAC